TGTTACATTTGAAAAAACATAACTTTGGATTGATTATATCTGAATAATAACAGCTTATTCTGAAATTCTGATTACGCCACTGGATTCTACGTGAAAAAATGTATGACAAACACTTTCGACTTTTTCGATGAATTGGAAGATGGTTGAGATACAAGAAGGGTCCCGAAATGCAGCATTTTCAATTTTGCCCTGTATCTCAAAAAGGCAGCGGGCTACAAAAACTTGGTTGAGGGTATCGTGAGTTTAACTAAAAAGAAGCCCACGTTTGCGAAAATGGAAAATCTCTATTTTAGAAAATAAATGAGATACCTATCCCGTTATGACATCGAAAATGGGACAGCCTGTACAGGGTATTCACGAATATTTCGAACCCCTACTCAACTTTTTTATGTATTGTCAATTTTATTTATCCTAGAAACTTTCTTCAATACTCTTCCTTTAAATTTGCAAATTTTATATATGCCAATGAAAAAACTGACTATTTTTTGAAAAGTTCAACTGTTTTTCTGTTGGTTTATACAGAAAAAATATGAGAGATCGTTCTTGGAAACAAAATCGAATGATACATGAAAAAATAAGCAGGGGTTCAGTACAAAATACTGAAGAACTGTCGATAGTAACTCTTTATGAATAGATATGTTGTACTCATTTCAAACTAATCAATGCCACGAGGTTTCAATTAAGACTTCCAATTAGGAACTGATGATAAGTGTATATGCACAACAGAGTTATACATCAGGAATTGATCATGAATATACCTGCAGAACGCATTTCAAACTCATAAATGCCACTGTAGTACAATGAGAAACTCTGATCAGGAACTGATTATGAATGTATCTGCAGAACACAGTTCATACTCATAGAGTTAATATGGAATTTCTATGAGGAACTGATTATGAAAGTATCTGCAATAAACATTTCAAACTCATAAATGCCACTGCATTCCGATAAGGAGTTCTGATCAGGAACTGATTATAAATCTATCTGCAAATCAGAGTTCATATGGAATTGCTATGATGAACCCATTATGAATGCATGTATCTACAATACACATTTTGAACTCATAAATACCACGGTATTTTAGTGATAAATTCCGATTAGTGACTGATTATGAAATGTATCTGCAAAACAGAATTCATACTCGTAGATTTCATATGACTGTGCTATAATAAGCTATCTATGAATGTATCTGCAATACACACTTTGAACTCATAAATGCCAAGGTATTTGAAAAAAATCCCGATTAGGGACTAATTATAATTAATGTATCTGCAAAACAGCGTTTATTGTCATACACTTCGAAAGAAATTGCTATTAGGAACTGATTATAAATGTATCTGTGAAACACAGATTATACTCATAGAGTTCGTGAAAAACTGCCAATAGGAACTCATTATGATTGTTCCTGTGAAACACATTTCAAACTGATAAATGCCACGGTAATTCAATGAGGAATTCCAATAAGGAACTGATGATAAGTGTATCTGCAAAACAGAGTTATACTCTAAGTGTTCCTGAGGAATTGCTATCAGGTATTGATTATGAATGTACCAGCAGGATACATTTCAAACTCATAAATGCCACTGTGCTCCAATAAGGAATTCCGATTAGGAATTGATTATGGATGTTTCTGCAAGACAGAGTTTATACTAATAGAGTTCATACGGAATTGATATAAGAAACTAATTCTGAATGTATCTGCAACACACATTTCAAACTCATAAATGCCACGGTATTTCAATAAGAAATTATAATAAGGAACTGATTGGGAATGTATCTGCAAAACAGTTTATACTCAAAAATTCCCATTATAAATGTATCTGCAATACACATTTTCAACTCATGAATGCCACGGTATTTCAATGAGAAATTCCAATCAGGAACTGATTATACATGTATCAGCAGAACAGAGTGCATACTCAAAGACTTCGAAAAGAATCGCTATTAAGAACTGATTATAAATGTATCTGTGAAACACAGCTGATACTCATTGAGTACATGAAGAACTGTCAATAGAAACCCATCATGGATGTACCTGTCAAACACATTTCGAACTGATAAATGCTACGGTGTTCCAATGGGGAATTCCAATTAGGAACTGATGATGATTGCTATAAGGGACTCATTATGAATGTATCTGCAATACACATTTCAAACTCATAAATGCCACGTTAATTCAATAAGAAATTGCAATTAGGGACTGATTTCAAATGTATCTGCAAAACAGAGTTCATACTCATAGAGTTGCTATTAGAAACTCATCATGAATGTATATGCAGAACACATTCCATTCTCATGAATGCCACAGTATTTCAATGAGGAATTGCCATCAGAATCTGATTATAAATGTATCTGTAAAACATAGTTATTCATACTCAAAGACTTCGTTGGAAATTGCTATTAGGAACCGGTCATGAATGTACATGCAGAACACATTTCAAAATCATGAATTACGATGTTTTAATAAGGAATTGCCATTTAGAACCGATTATGAATGTATCTGTGAATTACAGTTCAAACTCATCGACTCCATTGAGGATTGCCATTAGGAACTGATTATAAATGTAACTGCAGAATACATTTCGAGCTTATAAATTACTGTTTCACTATCCAACTTGACTCTGATATATCCTCATATGTAAATAACCAGGAATTACTAGTAGGAACTGATTATGAATATATCTGCGAAAAACAGTTCATACTTATAAGGAAAAGGGAGAGAATCGCCATTAGAAACTGATTATATATGTATCTGCAAAATACATAGGATTATACGGAATTACTGTTTCACTATCCAACTTCATTCTCATTAATTCTCATATATATTTTTTTATAAGTTTCTATGAGACATTTTTGGCAGGGATGTGTACCTTTGACAGTAAAAAGTTACTTAAATCTCTGGAAATGAGGCCAATTATAATTTGCTCCTTGATTTCCTTCGTGGTGAGATTGAGCTCACAACAGAGGGCTACTTTCTCATGAAAATATAGAGCTATATTTTCTCTGGGCTGCTGCACCCTGTCTGTCATCAATTTCCATAAGTCAGTCTTATGTCGTTCAGAAATAAAAGTTTTCTTAAAAGCTAGTCTGAAAGAGTTCCAGTCTTTTAGATGATCAGCTCGCCCACTAAACCAATACTTGGCAGCACCTTCCAAATGACTTTTAGCTGTTTGGAAAGTAAATGCATCTGGCCATTTATGTAACATAGCCGTATTTTCTATTTGCTGTAACCATAATTTCGCTGCACGTGACCCCTTTTCACCATCATACTTATCTATGGTTTTTGAAAGGTCTGGCATAACATTAAAGTTATGAATACTGGCATTATCAGAATCCTGCGAGATCCTTTGGGTTTGTGATAGCTGTAGCATATTCAACATACGAGTGTTTTGTTCTAATAGCATCTGTATCGTGTCCATCATTCCATTAGCTTGGGCATTTGGAGCACTATCGCTGTCCCTTTGTCCTCCTTGACCCATTCTTCTCCGTACAAAATCTTCAAATTCTTCATTATCGATAGGATAATTATTTCTGTTGCCTTCTGCCATTGATTCCAATAAACCAAAAAGTGTGGTCACAATAAATAGTAAGGTTAGAAAATAAGAAATCTTCCACTTTCCTTGTAATCGTTTTGGATCCATAAACCCCACACACCTGATATTGTAAACCATTACTTTCTTTCTTCAATAAAATCCATATTTTCGAATTTTGACTTTATTTCCCATAATTAAACATAATAACGCTACCAATTATCATTGTCCTCTAATCTCTACAGAACGACAACGACGAACAGAGAGAGAGTGCGAGAGACTGTCTTCCTCACTTCAAATTTGACATGACATTTGTCACAAACACAGTGACATGGAACAGAATAACAAAACTTGACTAAAGGCATACTTACTTACTAAAGGAAGTCTTATACTATCACCTTCTCGTTTACCTGAAGTTGCTCAACAGTAGTAAGATTTTTCACTTCATTCTCATTTTCTGAGCTCTGTGATAAGGTGGCATTTGCTTTTCTCACAGAAAGGTGAAATGCCCTTTTTTGCGATGCACTGTGAGGGTGAAGTGTGAACCACCATAACATAACAATCAACATAACCAAAATTCAAAAATAGCTTGTCATTTGACAGTGACAGAGGGGTGGGCGAAGGTAGATGGTGTAGCATGGTGAAGCACCGGGACTTCAAGCACTAGCATAATGAACGCCTTCCTGCCTATTTTTTCATGCTCTGGAGTAGCTCCGGTGTTACCCACACAGTCAAATCTAAAGCAACTATTATCTTTGACTGGTGTTAATAACCAGTTTAGCGATATGCAGAAACATCAATCAACCTGATTGTTTGAAAAAAAAAACAATTTTGTGGTTGCTCAACTGCTTTTTTATAGCATCATGCATTGAATCAGGTTCACCAACTGAAATATCCATAAACATCTTCCTTGAATTAACAACACCCTGGAGAAGAATGCTATGAAACCCTTTCCTATTGACATACTCCTGGGAATGCTCTTTAGGTTTATTAAAAGGCGAGTTCGGAATTGTAAAAAGAGTCACACCAAGTGAGTGAGTCCTATTAAAACAATTCACTCTGTGTTCATGTATAGAGTCGATTTTCGATCGTTCGGAATCTAAAAACTGGGCAAATAGAACGCACTCTGATGACTCTTTTATAAATAAGGAGTGTCGAGAGTTCCTCCTTTTTTGTCCATAGTAAATCGAGTTGAAAATTGTGTTCTTTTGTCGAGTGCTATTTCGAAAATGAAGAGAAAGAGAGTTACAATTATAGTTAACAGAACTCTCTACGAATTTGGCGGAATGTCTGCGGATAGAGCTGAATGATGACCTCGCTGCAAGTAAGACTTCGTACTATTTCCATTTCTAATTCATAAGCTCTTATATTCTGCGAAAATTCAGATCAGCAAGCACGGTGAGATTTCACCGTCAGTATGATCTCGAATAGTGTAATAAACAATATAAAATCATCAGAGCAAATTTCCAGCATTAACATCCTTGCCAGCGAGTGTGCATCTCTTGTTTTTTTGGGTACTGACAAAAACCTTGTAGAATCAGATGGTGAGTTATCTCTCTGATATAACATATTCATGTTTCATGTATGATTCGATTTTTAGATTCGGACTCCGAAATTGAGAATGGAAAATCAAATGGAACTATTTGGGATCAGAACATAACATTGGCTTTAATTGATAAGTTCAACGAAAATGAAGCAATGTTCGAAAAGTGTCTCAAAAAGCAAGTGTGGAATAAGATTGCAAAACAACTAAACAAAGATTTCTCTTCTCAGAAATTCAACTATAAAAATGTTGACAGCAAATGGAAATTCCTCAAAAGAACATATAAATCCATCAAATTGAATAATTCGAAATCTGATAATAACACCTACAGATGGCAATATTTTTCTGTAATGGATTCCCTCTTTCATAAGCGCCCAGAAATCACCCCTCCTGCTATATGCACTGGCACTTCTCTAGCGATATTAAATGAGGAAGTTTCATCCAATAATGAAGAAAATAAAGGGCCCCCTTCAATAATTCAACAACCAGAAAATAGAAAAGGAGAAACATCCAGGAAAAGATCACTCATTGGGAGGCATCAAAATGTCAATGACAGACATAGAGAAAAAATGGCAAAAACTGATAGATTTCTGGAAATATTGGAAAAATTGTGATTCATTCCTTTTATTATAATAATATTCCACTGGTGATCTATCATCATTATACTTGTTACAGTTCAAATTCAGTAAAATCATAAGTACTCATGAGTTTGCTTCATTTCATTGGGAAGAATCTATACTACTACTATTTCTATGATCCTCAGTGTGCATACCAAAAACGTTCGTTCGTTGAAGAATACATCGTGCATATTGTTTTTCTGATCACCTTGTATAATATTTTTGTGCATTTGGCTATTTTTCATTGTTATGGATTCTTGGTGACCGATAAACATCTTAGGTTTGGCAAATGTTTGACAGTTGTCATAATTGAAGTGAAATTTCGAATTCAACGAGTGTTACGGCTTCTTTCCTGTGGTGACGATACGAGAGTCGGCTTGTGATACCGTAGCAGGTTTCAATAATCATATATAATCACTTATAGTGGATTTCTATTGATTACCTGTATGTACAATCTTCCTTTTATTATTGTGGACTAGTAGAGTCATTGTGATTTGTCATACAAAGGAAGATTTCCCATATTGGGGATTTTTACGAGTTGTCACATGCCGCCATTTTGAACCCTCCAGACGCTGAGGTATGTACCGTATGTTTGAGAATTTTGCAATGTTTAATTCTACATTATCATAGGGTTCACTCCTACCCCCTTCGGGTTAATTCTACCATCCGCACCATCGAGCTAGAACAGGTACATCTGACTCTGAATCATCTAGATCAGGCTGAGGACTTTGAGGTTACTTCAAGTGTTTGTTGGAGGCCACGTCTATCCAACGCTGAATTAACACAAGTGCGGCATCCTCCTCAATATTCAGGACAGGAAGTTTTTGGACTGGTTAAAGACAGGACCATAACTTTATATATGTAGATATATACCTCCGTATCTCAACTTTATAATTCTATTTTTCAAACTTCACACTATATCGTTTCCGGGAATTAATTTGCATAAAGCTTTTCAATCTAAATTTTACATACATATTATATTCAACAGTGATATTTATCAAACCCTCATTTATAGAGTGTTGGGCTCGTAATTAGATACACTGATCTCGAGCCCATTGATATATATTTTTCAGGACCACTTCCAGTTGTCAGCCCCTTGTGATCACAACGGGACATCGGAAGATCTACCTGGTCTGGTACTTGCCAGGGACTTTGGGGTAACGTACATGTATTTTCTCCTGAAGTGAATGATTCATTGAATAGAGGTTTGTAAATATACTGTCAGAGTTTTTGTATTCCACCAACCTTTCCTATACTCGAGAGATATGTGTAGTCTTCATACCACACCACACCATTAATTTATTTTCTATTCATTATTTCAACGCTCATTATTGTTACAATCACTTGGAATTCTCCATCAATATCAGGAGCAGCCTGTGAGTTGGACTGGCTCTTACAATTCACTGGCGCGATATAAATTTTTCTGGTTCGAACCCATAGCATTGATTGAGTTAGTCGGTGACTGCTGTGCTTTCCCTTGCATTCCAGTGATTAGATAGTTTTATTCAGAAACAGCGTAGCAGTATTTGGCACCTAACGTGTGGGGCAATATTTTCGCGATTAGACACTTGTATAGGGTGATCTCGAGAGTTGGAAGGTTGGTAATTTGGAAATATTTTATAATTTTTTTTTTCTCATCGATTATTTGTCGATATTGGGGATACATATACAGGGTGTTTCAAAATTCAGTATTAAGATTTTAGGGGCGTATTTTTCAGGTCAAAATAAGACGTTTTTGTCCATAAACATGTGTCCGCAAACGCTTCGTTACCGATCTACAGAGCTTTAAAGTTTCAAGATTTTTTTATTTTTTTCTTCATAGCTCTTTCAATTTTTGAGATATTAAGATCAAATTAGGAATGTAGGTTACGTTCTAGGGCTTACATCATCCAGCATGCCGAGTGATTGTGAGAATCTACAGGGAGATATTTTTTTCAGGGGTCAAGCCCTTTTTTACCCCATAAACTTTATTGTGGTGCGCCGCTGGTGAATTCTGAGATACGAAATGAATTCTTTGTTTTGTTTATAAATTTTTTTGTCTCTTGTTATTTTCACGCATCTGCGATCGTTATCGAGAAAAAAGTAAAATCAATTTTTGTGATTCACTACATTTAATTAAAATTTTCAACGGAACAATGAAAAAGCGAATTAGTGGGCTTTGACTGCTATTTTCATTTTGACGTTTAGGTTTGTTTTGAAGCATTTGACATCATTTGAAAGTTGGTGGATGTCTCATCGTGTATTTGTTTAACTTTAACGCTCTGTAGATCGGTAACGAAGCGTTTGCGGACACATGTTTATGGACAAAAACGTCTTATTTTGACCTGAAAAATACGCCCCTAAAATCTTGATACTGAATTTTGAAACACCCTGTATATATTTTCCAAGCTAATTCTTGTTGAGATCGGTTTTTGTGTCATTATTTGATCATTTGTTTCCAACATGGACTATAAACTTGTCATCAATTATCTCAAACAAGATGAATTGAAATATGAACTTTCAGTTCGTGGAATAGTGATTCTTTCGAAGTTCGAAAAAGAAGGAAATCGATTGACGTATCCTGAATACAACCTTGATTTTAATGAAGAACAACAAACAATAAATCAAAAATTGAAAGAGATAACTACAGCTATAACTAACAAATCTAGTGAAAATTTTAAAATCAAGTTTGAACGGCTTCAGTCTCGTTTGGTACATTTATTACTTCGTTGTGATCGTATATCTGCTATTGGAGAGCACATGATTGCTAGAGCGGAACTCATGGCAAAAATTCTTTCAGCTCTCGACAGTTTGGAAACTGTTTCAAAACAAGATCCCAATCTGAGCATAATTTTTGAGAATGCTGGTTTTAATTCAACAGTCGCAGACATGAATATCTCTATTACTGCTCCAGTTTCATCTGCTGAAAATAACAATATTTCTTCTAATTCATCTATGTTGAATACCGTCAACGTCAAACCTTTGCCTATTCATAAGTGAAACGTCAAGTGTTCGGGAAATCCTGATGAATTATCTGTTCATGAATTCTTGGATAGAGTTTCTGAGTTGAAAGCAGCTCGAAAAGTTTCTGATATTGATTCATTTGATTCAGCTTATGAACTTTTTGAGGGAAAGGCACGCAATTGGTTTGTGAATAACCGAGATCGATTTACTAATTGGCAAAGTCTTTCTGATCTATTGATTAAACATTATTCTGTTCCGGATTATATGCCTAGGTTATTCGAAAACATTTTGAGAAGAACTCAAGATGTCAATGAAACTATCATTGATTATTTAAATTGTATGAGATCAATGTTCAGAAGATATGGTTCTATGTCAAATCAAACTCAGTTAGATATTGTTATTAGAAATCTCTCACCATTTTATACTTCCCAGTTACCACATGTTAATACCTTGCAAGAACTTGAAAGTGAATGTCTGAAACTTGAAACCAAGAAATATCGTGTTGATAATTATGCTCCACCCAGTCAGAAAAATATTGATTTTGTTGATTTAGAATTTGTTGTTGCGCCTTCTATACGTCCAAGTTCAAACCTGGTAGAGTTTCTGTTCATGAAGTGAGTCATTTCAAGCCTCAAAATCCAATTACCTGTTATAATTGTCAAAAAAAAACGGGACACCTCAATAGGGACTGTAATGCACCTAGAAGAATACATTGTTTCAGATGTGGATCACCTGGGGTCACTTTGAGAACTTGTGATCATTGTAATGCGGGAAACGAAACCCGGAGGAACTGATTAGTGGTCAGTTTTCCTCCGATTGTTCTGTTAATTCCACTTTCAAAAATTGTCATGCTGATTTTCCTGAAACTGTTCTATTGAATTATATTATCTCTCATGCACGAGATGATCAACGTCCTTATATTGAAGTAAATGTTTTGGGTTATACATTTTTGGGTCTACTTGATAGCGGAAGTTCAAGAACTTTGGTTAATTTGTCGAGTTATAGAATTTTAGAAAATCTAGGTTTATTTCTCACTTCCAATTATACTAGTTGTATTGTGGCCAATGGACAATCTTGTTCGAGTTTAGGTTATATTTCTACTCCAATATCCTTGATGGGAAAAACTCATGTAATTGATATACTGGTTGTTCCTGAAATCTCGCAAAAATTAATTTTAGGTATTGATTTCTGGAGAATTATGACTATTCTTCCAGATCTTCGTAATGATGTTTGGCATTTCACAAATGATGTAGATTCCGTTGAGTTCAACCCTAATCAGGGTATACAGAGTGACACTAATTTGACTTCTGAACAACGAACTCAATTGAATAATGTGGTTGAACAAAAGTTAGCGGCAATGGGAACAAATTTGGGTTTGTGCAATGTTGGTAATCATGAAATTGAACTCTTACCTGGTACTAAGCCTATCAAACAGAGATATTATCCTTGTAGTCCTTTCAAACAGAAGATCATTGATGATGAAGTGGAATCAATGTTGGAGAAGGGAATTATCGAACCTTCAAAAAGTGCTTGGTCTTCACCCGTTTGTCTTGTTAAAAAAAAGGATGAGACTTATAGATTTTGCATTGATTTTCGTCAGCTGAATTCTCAAGAAAGATGCTCACCCCTTGCCATACATTTCACATATTCTTGATCAGTTGAGAGATGCAAAGTATCTGAGCTCGCTTGATATCAAATCAGCATATTTTCAGATTCCTTTGAAGCCAGAGTCTAGGGAATATACAGCGTTTACTGTACCTGGTCGCGGATTATTTCAGTTTTTGCGCATGCCATTTGGTTTAACAAATGCTCCAGCAACCTGGACTAGGATTATAGAAGCTGTGCTGGGACCTGAACTGCAGCTTTCGGTTTTGGTTTATCTTGATGACATAGTTATTGTTTCTCAAGACTTTGATTCTCATCTCAAGACCATAGCATTGGTTTTCGATAAGTTACATGCAGCTGGTTTAGTGGTGAGTCCTGAAAAGTGTAAATTTTGTTTGCCTCAACTAAAATATCTCGGTTACATTGTGAATGAGCATGGTCTACATCCA